ATCATGGATGATCATAGTTGTTCATGTTGTGCTGCATGTTTCCCTTGGGCCTTGGGCTGATTTGCTTCGGCATGCGTTGTCAGAGTCTGTCGGGGTTTGCCAGAAGTCAATGTAGGAATGTAGGCTGTGCAGGTCAGTGCTTTGTTGAACAGATGTGCATGCCCAAGAGTCCAAGTCCAAGAGCCAAAAATCAATAATTTAGAAGCTGCCCGCACCCTGTAATAGTGCCATAAGGATTATATTAATATTATACATATATATATATATATATATATATATATTAGGGCCCTATTGTATTCCTATTATACCACTATTACAGGGTGGGGGCAGCTTCTAATCAATAATCTATCAATATAAACAACAATCATTAATCATTAATCCCATTCACCAAAATTTCCTGGCCCTATTGAACTATTGATAATGATTACTTATAATGTCCAATACTTTCTCCAAATAGTATTATGTTAGTATGTTAAATCTTCTTATTGCCATTGTAATGTACCGCATTGGCGCCGCATTGGCACTAGTCGCTGTTCACTATTCAACACGGTCACCAAAGCCTTTAGCAGTCACTCGGGTAATTGGGCAATTGGGGGACTTCATAGTTCCAAGCAGATTCTTCTGTGCAGGATGCCCGCACTCGTGGCGACAGCGGGGGCTTCCCTGCCTGGAAGGCACAGGCGGTTCGGTGGAGCGAAGCCATTGGAGTTGATGTTGCTAAGCACCGTGTTTGGACAAGTCGGCGAGACTTTGTGGGACGGGGTGTTCCACAGAATGAGCGGGTGCAAACCATGCTTGATCTGGTGTGTCTCCAGAAGTGGTCTGAGCATCCAAACCGTGGGTACCTTCGTGATGTTGTTTGGCCTGACCTCATGTGCAATGTGTTCCTGGACTGGAGCCAAAATCCAGCTCGCAGGGCTTATTCAGGAAAGAATGGAGAGATGCGCTGTTTGACTACATCCTCCCAACTCTACTCCTTTGAAGCCGACCGGGCACTCTTTCCGATTGAGTACATGAGGCTCCAGGGATGGGGCTTTGACATTGCTATCCCTGAGCAGTGTGCAGGGAAGATGCGAGAGCTGTCAGGGCAAGGCATGTCGCTGCCGTGCCTCGGAGTTGTGATTTGGGCAGTGTATCTGCTGAAGGGCCTCCCGTCTTGTGCCGTTCATGCTGATGATGATGGTGATTGGGAGCTTGATTTGCGCTGACAGACCTCTTGCTTTTCTGAGCAACTTTCAATACTTCCTCCTAGGTCCTAAGTCCTAGGTCCTAGGTCCTAGGTGTAGGTCTAGGTCCTAGGTGCCAGGTCCTCACTGTCGCAACCCAACCCAACAAACCGAACCGTACCTACCGGACCTAACGACCTAACCTAAAGACCTAAACTATGCCCTAGAACTATAACTTAACTAATAAACTAAATTTACCTGAAGTATAAATTAATTGAGTGATTGACTGTTATTAACAGTAACAAACAACTACCTAAAGCCGCCAAGACACTGGATTGACTAGACACTAGTTCATGGGTACTAGGATTACTAGGATAGTAGGACTGCTAGGACTAGGAGTCTAGCGGTCTAGCGTCCTAGATTTGCAAGTAACTAGACTGGCCTGACAAAGCTTGACTAAGCGATTCAGTCATTTGTTGATCGTTGATTCCTTGGGGTGTGTCAGTCAGCTCAGATTTGTCAAGATGGTCTTGGCCGTAGCCTGTCAGGCTTTGTTTGTGGACATGCCAGGCAGCATCCACTGGATTGGTTTCCAGGGATGATGATCCTGTGGCCCACGGGTTGGTTGTGATATGTTTGTAGTCATTGTAATTGTAGTCATAGGTTTAGTATGTTTAAGTTTAATGGGAATACACCTACCTGTGCCCTGTGTGACAGGTGACCCTAGTGCCCTAATGATTCCTAATGGCCCTAGTGCCCTAGTGACTGCCCTTTGCGACTCTATCTAGATTCTAGACTCTACTAGCCTCTAGTGGCTAGTGATGTGCTGCTTCAGTAGCCGGGCCCCCCACTAGAAAAAAACCATGTAAACCTTCCATTCAGCAGGGGCAATGTGTAGGGCCAGTGGCGGCCAGTGTAGGACAGTGTAGGAGCGTAGGATTTGTGGGAATGTAGCAGTTCAGTAGAGCAAAGAGCAGCTAATGATGCAGCTAATGAGCTAATGAGCCCATGAATGTAGAAACAGTGTAGTGTAGCTGTGGAGCTTGTGTTCGCAGCATTGTTGCTGGCACCAGCGATGTTACCGTGTTAGCCTTTGCAGGTACTATCATCATATTGCTACTCAGCTGAGCAGCTGACAGCTGTCAGCTGGCAGTAGAATTTTGCACAACATCAGGTCCACAGGTGTGTTGCTGTGCTGTCCACAGATTCTGCCTTCACGCTTGGGAACATATCCTTCACTGCCTACAGGCCGCAGTGGGGATCATGTTCCAATGCTGCTGTCATTGCTGATTACAGTGATTACTGATTACAGTCACATCTTTAATCCCTAAGCCTAAGCCCTACGGTTGATGATATAAATCCTGCATTACCTTAGGGAGCCTAAACTATGGGAATTATGGTATATTCCTTATTATGGGTGATGCAGGATTTATATCATCAACCGTATGCCCTAAACCCTAAGCCCTAAACTTTTGCAAGGTCGGGAAGGACACGAGTCGGCATAGCTTGATCACCTACAATCGAACTAACACCTCAATCTGCCGAAAGTCCTTTCCGACTGTAGCAGGAAGGGCCCTTAAAAACTTTTGAAGCCGGCCCTCGCCTAGACTCTAGACCTAGCCGCACCTAGCCCACAGGTCTGAACCTACCCCTACCCGGTACTACCCCTTAAGCTTGAAACCTTAAGCTTAACCTGAAGCCTTAAGCCCTGAGCCTAACTGTCCTAACCCATACTGCCATACTGCTAATCATTGCTAATCGAGAGCCTCAATCCTTTGATTGGAGCAAAGTACCAAGTAGTAGTTCAAGAACAACAGCAGCAACAACAAGAACAACACCGTCGTGGCTTTCTTTGAGCAGGTATGTCTGCCTATGTGACCGACATAATGTATACTGCGTATGAGTGTATGGCTGCCCCAGTCCCGAGGTCCCCAGGCGCTCAGGGCTCTAGCCGCCCTGCCCTAGGTAGGTCTTAGGTAACCATTATCATTAACAGAGTGAGTGTCAAGCATACGCCAGGTACAGAGTTAAGTAGAATCTAAGTAGACTGGACAATGTATCAGCTGCAGCTGAAATCTTGGTCAAGCGAATCATGTGGGAACGCTGTTTTTTTTTTTTTTTTTGCTCTTGGGCTGGGAGGGGATGGCCGAATTTGAATAGCTGAGTATCAATACTTCAATACTAAATTTACTGTATTGGTGACTTCATTCAATCTATTTAATCGATTGGCATCAGCTTCAAAGACTCACATCAGTTCAAAGTCAAGTCTTCACTAG